ATTTATAAACTGAATACAAATATTTGGTTTATTTAAAAGTGAATTTATTTTTTATTATATAATAATATAATTATTTATAGCTATCATAATTATCAAGTTTTCATTTATTATAGGTATGATACAATTTCTATTTCTATTATAATGTTATTTTGATTCAATTTTTAAGTTTTTAAAATTAATATCTCAAACAGTTTTATTTTTTTTCTTAAAATAATTTATCTGTATTTAAACACCAATTGAAATAATATTTTGCCTATTTATATTTTCTCTTTTAAATTTTTGTAATAATACATTTTGTATTATAACAAACAATGAAACAATAACATATTATTCAGTCTGTGGGTACATTAATTATTACATACTGATTATTATAATTTTAAATTATTTAAGTATTCAATACTTTTTAAATAGAACATTGCTATAGTAATAAAGTGATACAATAAATTTAAAGAACAATTATATTAGTTATTAGTGTATTTAATAATTATATAAATTAATTAATATTACTAATCGATGTCCATAGGTAACATGTGAATACTGTTTGGTTGGTGGTGCTTGCATACCACAAAGAGTTCACACAGTTGTTATATCTGTGCAACATTCTGAAAAGATTTCCTTAGAAGACTTACGGCAAGAAGTTATGTCTAAAGTTGTTAAGACAGTGATTCCTTCTCAGTATCTTGATGACAGAACCGTTTTTCACATCAATCCATGTGGTCAGTTCGTAATGGGCGGTCCTCAAGTAAATTTTTCAAGAGAGTATAAAAAATCTACAAAAATTTATTATTTATGATTTGTTTCTTAGTGTGATGCTGGTTTGACGGGACGAAAAATTATTGTTGATACTTATGGTGGTTGGGGAGCTCATGGTGGTGGTGCATTCTCAGGCAAGGATTTCACTAAAGTTGACAGATCTGCAGCATATGCTGCCCGTTGGGTTGCTAAGTCTTTGGTAAAATCTGGCCTTTGCAAACGTTGTCTTGTACAAGTATGTATAGTTTATTAACTTATTATATATTGTGATAGATATTGAGTTATTTTTTTATTGCGAAAGGTATCATATGCAATTGGAGTAGCTGAGCCAATATCAATAACACTTTTCCACTATGGCACATCTACTAAAACTCAAAAAGAATTATTGAAAATTGTAAACAGTAATTTTGATTTAAGACCAGGAAGAATAGTCAGGTTAGTATAAATCAAGGTTTATTTAATGTAATATAACAATTAATATGTAATGCAGTAAAAGATAAAATTAAAACTTAATAAATAAATTCTATAAATAGTATTTTTCAATGAGTTTATGTTAATTTCATGGGTTTGAGAAAAAATATTTTATCAAGATTATTTTTTATGTAGATGCAAAGTTCACTTATAATTGCTATTAGTTTCCTATCAGCAGATCTAATTAAGAAATACTATTCTATAATTCAAATATTTTTTAATGATAAAATTTATTTAACATAATGTTATTATTTTCAGGGATTTAAATCTACGAAACCCAATTTACCAAAAAACGAGCACATATGGACATTTTGGTCGTGACATATTTCCTTGGGAAAAACCTAAGATTTTGGTTGAGTGATAAATGGCAGACTTTCTTACACACTGTGTATGATTCAAAACAAATGCGTAGAATTTTTTTATTGATTTTTTTTTTTTAACATTAACGAATCAAATGTTGTCACCTGTTTCTAGTGTTAAGATACACTATTACATATACTAGTATTTGCATAGGTTTCCCTTATTTAAAAAAAATTTAAAACATTTATTATTGTATTTAATAAGTCACTATTATGCCATGTAAATAAGAAGTCTAAACACTACCAGACATTTAATTATTTACCTTATTGGTCTATAAAATAAAAATTGAACATAGTTGCTTTTTATTTTGATCACTATTTATTAGTGTATGTCAAAAAAAGCTAAATACCAATTTAATTACTATTATATTATCTCATCATATTCCTTGAAAAGATATGTACATATATTTCATATGTACATGAATATTAAGATATATACTTTTTTTATTTCATTATTTTTTTTTTTTTTTTTAGTGATTTATTATTGACCGCATCTTTTTTATTAATGTTTAGCACATTCTTAAGACATAAATGTAGATTTAGCATATTAAATTCAATTGTTAGTGAATTAATTTTGTGTTACTTCTATGTTCATTTAATTTAAATTTAAATATTTTTATTGAAACAATTATGGTTTTTTTTTATATATAATTTTTAATGTTTTATCAACATTTTGTGAATTTATTAGTTTTTTTGTCATACATGTATTTTATCAGCCTTATTTTCGTTTGTTACAATGATATTGATTATTGGCTCATAATAAAATGTGTTGCTGCTCTCCAACTACTTTTCTTTCTTTTTTTAAAACTCAGATTCTTTAGATAAATTATGTATGCAAATAATGTACTTGTTACTTTATTTTGTGTAATTATTTATTTTATAGTTTAAGCAAACAATTTGATAAATTATTCATTTTATGTGATAAGATTGAAGTTGTTTTATTAGTTATGAACAAACATGATTTGATTAATTATTTTAAAAAGAAATATGGATTTTTTAACTAATCTTCTTTTCCAAAGTATGTATTAAATCCTATTTTCTTCTATTAAACCATTCCCTAAGCCTCAAAATCAGGTGTTATGATTTTGAAGGGGTGATAACACAAAAATTAAAAAAAAACCCATAGTCTTAAAATCAATACAGTAGGTCGTCTTCATTTAATGTTGTTTCTCTCTTACATCGTAAAAGTTTAAGAAACTTGAGTATTGTTTAACTCTGAAACGGTTTCAGTAAAACGTCGTTTTTAATACACGTGTTGATAAGTACACCAGATTGTTTTATTAATATTGTTTGTTTAAAATTGTCAATTCCATCGATCATTTTCAGATAGGTAATATTGTTATCGATCTTATTGGCAAGCCTATTATCCACGTAGGTACTATTTTTATTTATTTTAGGGTAATATACTAATATGTATTTCTTATTTGTTTTTCATTTCATTTTTCGATAATCAATTGTTCGATAATACTTGCTTTCCACAATTTAGTTTTCGTGTATGTACATACGATTACATCTGTATATTTGCATATTTTATCATGACGTGATAAAAACATGATTAAGTAGTGTGTGTAAAAATTGTTTCATTTAAAGTTTTTTAATTAACGTCGTATTAACTAGGAACCAAACATCGGCGTTAAGTGAAGACTTGGGTAGGTACTTTCATTTTTAGAATTTGAAATGAATCAAGTTTGGTGTTAATGTTAAATTTAAATTTTAGTAGAACACGGTCATTTTATAGCTTTCCAAACTGATAAATTTAAATTATCAATAGCCCGTATAGGTTAAATTAAATTGAATTGTATTTTTGAACTTTAATTATATCATACTCATGTTACGTTCTCTGTCGTTCGGTACCTGATCAAATGTAAGTGATAGCAATAAGAGAAATAAATGATCTGGAATAGAGGTAAAAATTTTTGAAAATCTCCCCTTATAATTATTTTTAATTTTAATAAAGTATCATAATAAAAAATAATAGATAAATATAAATTTTTTGGAATTAATTTGTTAATAGAATCATTACGACCCGTGCCAATGAGCTATCATATTATCATTATTTCATTTAATTCTAATTGTACATAGCAACATAGGATTTATTGATAATAATGTACTCGCTACTCAATGCTCATTGGTTTAATAGTAAATACTTACATGGCTACGTGTTAACGGGCTTGATTATTTTAACAGTTTAATAATTGCCTAGGTAAAGTATTCCTTATGAAATTTTATATTTATAAAATATTTTATTTTATTTTATTTTAATTGATTACTAAATACCAATGTCGGTAAATAAAAATGTTTTTATTTAAGAATTCGAAATTATAATATGTACCTATGCTGTCTTGCCGAAATCGAGTAGGTTGAACCACACCATTCGGTGCGCGAATTGTACGTCTTATTTACTCGATATGATATATCTATTTAATTAGCTTTATACGTGTTAACACAGGTGAAATATCAGTTATTCAGTTATATGACATTCGGTTGTTTCAAGTGTTTCAAGTGTCATATCGATAACATTTTAAACTGATGTCGTGCGGCGATTCCATGAACTTGAGGGTACCTAAAATATGATATACATATACTGTGTGTAATCGGTTGTTGGAAACACTCTATAACTTAACAAATATTTAATATATTTGAATTCTGTTTGTTTGTGGTGCTCAACTAAGTTTTTTATAACTTATTAAAGCATTCAAACAATTTTTATGTCATATAATTTCGCGCATGCGCATAACATCTTTTTTTTTTAAATGGCAATCCCACTATTTTTTGGCTAACTATTTTTACTCTTATTTTTTTATGAATTTTAATGGTAAAACCAACTTCCTATGTTAAAAAATAGCCGAGTTATGGATACTTGAATGATTGATATTATTTTTTTGACATTTTTGAAATATTCATCAATTTCATGGCTTAAATTTTTAACACCTCATGATATCTTCTAGTGATATTTTTAGTACCTACTTTTGGGAAGGATCCTCTTCCCCTATAGCAACTAATTTTTTTTTAAATTTGTCTCCTTAGGCGATTTAAAAAAAAAAAAAAAAAACATTGTTAATTAATTTTATTTTTATTAGTTCAAAATTAGGTACATTCAATTACTTTCATTATCTTATAAACTGTTCAAACTGCTTATAATTTAAACATGTCAATTTTATTTCTATTATTGGATATTTTAAATAACCATTAAATGATAGGTACGGGGTTTCTCCATCATTTCTTAACTGTTCTTATCTGAATATTAGATAATTTAGATACGATCGACTGTTTTCATTTTAAAAAGGCCAGTGCAGCTACTATTGTTTCGTATTTGCTTTACAGTCATATTTTACGAACTCATGCGTGTTTATTAAACAACAGTTATGTTACATCAAATAACTTCATAATTGAGATAGCTTGTAGTTTGAACAAAATATGAATAATTCAGAAAAAGTTGATATGCTTTTTGTTTACTGGGAATGTGAAAAAAATTCACGTCAGGCTGCACGTGCTTATGTTGAACGTTACCCAAGTATGTATTTATTATTAATTAGTACTTTTAACGATTTTTCGTCTTATTGGTGAAAATAATTAAACAATTTTTCGTTTTTCTAAATGCAGATAGGCAACACCCATCACAAAGTTATTTTCATAAATTAGAAAGGAATTTAAGAAGTACTGGTTCTTTTTCTAACATAAGAGTTATTGCCAACCAACAACCTAGACAAGTTAATGCATTAGGGGAAGATATTGAGCTTCAAGTGTTGGCGTACGTAAGAGCAAATCCCAGAGTTAGTACGCGTCATGTCGGCTTTGAAATAGGTATTTCTCATAATGCCGTTCATAAAATTTTAAAAAAACATAAATTTCATCCATACAGACCTGATTTAGTTCAACACTTACGCCAAGGTGATGCTGAGCGTAGGATTATGTTTATTTCTTGGTTAGTAACTCAATTAGAAGACAATCCTATTATATTAAATTACATATTATGGACAGACGAATCTAAATTCACCAATAACGGAGTAATAAATAAACAAAATAATCGGTATTGGGACACTCAAAATCCCCATTGGGTTTTTGAAACAAATAATCAATGTATCTGGGGAACAAATGTTTGGTGTAGTTTGATTGGAGGTAAATTGTTGGGACCTTATTTCTACGACGGTACATTAAATGGAAGACGGTATTTAGATTTTCTAATGAATGAGCTACCGATCATGCTAGACGACATTCCTCTTGCAACAAGAAACAATTTGATTTTGCAACAAGATGGAGCCCCGGCACATAATGCAATTGTCGTGAAGAATTATTTAAATGAATATTTTGAAAATCGTTGGATAGGAACTAATGGTATAATAAAATGGCCACCTCGATCTCCGGATCTTACACCTCTTGATTACTTTTTGTGGGGATATCTAAAAACTGTCGTCTATGCAAACCCACCTACTAATCTTATTGATTTGAAACAAAAAATAATTGCGGCGTGTAATCAACTTACTGAAGGGCAAATTTCATCTGCAACAAATAAAGAATTTCTACAAAGAACAGAAGCATGTTTAAATTATAATAGAGAGCAGTTTGAACAGTTTATAAGATAATGAAAGTAATTGAATGTACCTAATTTTGAACTAATAAAAATAAAATTAATTAACAATGTTTTTTTTTTTTTTTAAATCGCCTAAGGAGACAAATTTAAAAAAAATTAGTTGCTATAGGGGAAGAGGATCCTTCCCAAAAGTAGGTACTAAAAATATCACTAGAAGATATCATGAGGTGTTAAAAATTTAAGCCATGAAATTGATGAATATTTCAAAAATGTCAAAAAAATAATATCAATCATTCAAGTATCCATAACTCGGCTATTTTTTAACATAGGAAGTTGGTTTTACCATTAAAATTCATAAAAAAATAAGAGTAAAAATAGTTAGCCAAAAAATAGTGGGATTGCCATTTAAAAAAAAAAAGATGTTATGCGCATGCGCGAAATTATATGACATAAAAATTGTTTGAATGCTTTAATAAGTTATAAAAAACTTAGTTGAGCACCACAAACAAACAGAATTCAAATATATTAAATATTTGTTAAGTTATAGAGTGTTTCCAACAACCGATTACACACTGTATATAATATATTATATTCAAATTCAAATGGACATTAAGACAAATAACATTGTCAACGAAGAATGACAATTGAGTTATTGAATCGTTTAAATAAAGGATTTTTGTTTAGACTATGTACACATTTATAGGTAGAGGTATTTACAGGTATTAAAGTCGCTTTAGTCGTGTGTCATGTATGGTATATAACATAATGTGGTGTGTACACAATAGTTACCTATATTACTTGTATAACATATTTGTATGTGACAATTTCCTGAAGTTTAAAATATGTTATACATTGATTATAAATTATAATATACTCAACGCGTTTGTAATTCGATTGTCTACCGGACTTTAAAATCATTTAATAAAATAATAAATACATTTATGCAGTGGCGCAGGTATCCAGGAAATTTGCTAAAGGTTATTTCAATATACAATAATTACTTTTTTAGATTACGAGCAGGGCGATGAATGTATCGATCTTACAATGATGTGTATATGTGTGTTTTTTCCGTAAAAGTACCTACGCTATAAATAGTAGAAAAAATACTTTGACCTTCAACCTTTGAGAATTGTTATCTACTAATGGAAAATTAGATCTAATTGGTAATTTTGAGAAGCCAAAATTGAAAATTTTCAGTATCTATTATTCCAAAATTCCGAATATCTACTTGTGACAAATAAAAGAAAGATGGAAAAACGCCAAGTTTGAAAAGCGTATTAAGGTTCTCCTTAAGTTTTCATTATAGCTATTTTAAAATTTTGAAGATATCCAAATAGTATAGGGATGATTTATTCTTAGTTGATTTTCGATAAAATCGAGAATATTTGTATATTATTATTTATTTACTAGTAAGTTCCACCTCCATGGTATATTTTATGAGCGTCTGTAGTTTAAATTTTTATGAAATAGGATATTTCTATGTAATAATATTGATTTCTCGTCTAACTTCTTATTTTGTTGTAACTCAAAAATCAAAAACTATTGATACTTAAATGTTTACCAAATGTTTTATTATTATTTTTAACACGTGGTATAGTTTTTAAAATATTTCTACTTTTTTTTGAGCTATCTATTGACTTCTTTTTATTTGTGGATAAACAAAATATTTATTTTATCAAATAGCTTGAAAATGTAATACAAAAATCCTCGTAAATTATAATTATAGCTATTGAAAAATATTTAAAATACAATTGTCATAAATAGGCACGATTTATATATTTTATATAAGCAATATTTAAAGATAAAACTTTTTCTTGTTTTAAAGGAAAAATCAACTATTAACTCATCCATTAACGTAATATAGTAACCTTAAAATGTGTAGATTTTTAAAAGCGTATAGGCTACAGGATGAACTAAAACATGGTGTATAAATTATAAATATGATTTTGTCGTGACAACCACCCACAATCCACCTACTATTTTCTAAAGAGGTACCTAGGTTGTAGGTATGAACATTGCGCTGTACGAGACACGGGTTAATATGAATATGTGTTAGTGATACTGTATGGTACTAATCGTCGTACGAGTTTTTGCAGGTTTCAATATCAATTGATTTCACGTAAAACAAAACAAAAAAAATTCATCACTCGAAAACCGAAAAAAATCAACGACGGACGTCGTAAAATATTTCCAATCGGAAATAAATTGTGATTGAAAAGACGTTTCGTGCTCACACAGCGTTCCGCGCACGTACAAAGTAATAATATTATATAATACATATTACCTACACCTTTTATATTTTTTTCCTTCGTTGTTTTTGTCTTCTCGGTTTTCCGTCAAACTTATAATGTAATAAACGCGCGAAGAACTTGTGGATAAAGATTGATCGGCTATTGACGACGTTATGGAGTCTGACCGGAAGCATTGCACCTGCGGTCGCTCATTATTTGTTATTGTTGTTTTATCGTCGTCGTCGTCGAATAACATAACAAATCTGTTTGCGTCCGATGGGAAACGCGAACTGCGGCTAAACGTATACGATGGTGGGTGACAAATTAAAGGCACTTCCATCTCGGCCCCGTCTGTAATCTTCGAGATAATGGAGATGCATCGGAACGGCTGAGAGCTAAGTAGCTACCTTAGGTATAATGATATTATTTAGTTTTGACGGAGAAAAAAAGCAAATCGCTGTTTCGGATTCGGGACCGCGGAAAACCGTTGAAAACTTTTACAATGTTTTACTTTAATTTTTTTATATTTCTAAATACAACAATTAGAACATCACCATGTTATTTTATTCATATATTAATGCTTATTAGTCGGATAACAAAAAAAGCTCAACAAGAATTATTAACAGTAAAGAAAGTTTTAACATTGTTGAGTAGTAACTATAGTACACTCGTGTATGCTTATAAAGTAGATAAGTGAACTCATATGTGAAAAAAATGTATACCTATATAAGTATTAGTATACACTATACATATCAGATTATGATGATTTTATAATAGAATTTTCAAATTAACATTAAAATTTAAAGTTTTTTTTCTTAACTTGTTATATTGTTAAAGAATTATTAATAGTGCAATTTTTAATATATAAACGTCAATGTAGAATGGAAATTGATTTAAGTTCTATTTCTGGACTCTTTGAAATCACAATATCATCGTACTGGTATGTAATAATACAAAAAAGGAATAAACGTTTAAATATAAAAATATTAAAAGTATGATAAATGATATAAGATAAAGCGGCCGGACTGACACAAGGGACACAAGCCTTGTATGTAAGTCCGGTATTAATGAATATTGAGTATACTTGTTCTCGTGTTATTACCTTCCTCCTGTTCTTCGGAGGGTTCTCGAGATCGTGATTCAAGAATGTGATCAAATACACCGTTACACAAATTAGATAGTAACATAACCCGTACTAACAATTAGTATTTTAGACATACACCTTACTTAATTCGCCGCAGTGAATACTTATAGTACGTTCTTCGGAGAAAGATGCAAGGTGACACAAATTACGATATGACTAAAGGAAAACTTAAATTTAAATAAGAAAAACAACACTGATTTAAATTAGAAAAAGAAAGAAGTCCAGTTGTCGCTCGCAGAGTCTTGTGTGTAAGTCGTATGGTGGTTTTGGGAAGAGCTCCTGCTCGCTTGTCTGGTGCGCCTGCACTCATAATTTTTGTCGATGCTCATGCACTCGATAGTTTGGCTGGTGCTCAAGCACTCATGGCTTGACTGGTGCTCGTGCACTACCGAGAGAAGACGACCTGGTCAAGCCAGCCAGAGTCGCAGGCGATGCCATCATAAAAAGGACTCAGCGTTTTTTCGAAGAAATAGTCTTTCTTCTAGACGACAGAGAGCTTCATTGTACCATGGCCCGTTTCCGCTGGATAACGAAATTGGTTCACACGCTTTGCGAGATATTGTCACAACTCATGTGTCAATTCCTTAGTGACCATATAATATAAGTCGTTTTCTTTCATCAGTGGCGAAAGGGTGTTTATAGGGTTTAGTCTGCGTGCGACAACTTGACCGTTAATTTATTTGATTGAATTTTATGTATATGTAATAAACAATGATATGTGAGCATATCATTACAGGTAAATATTTAAAAATACTTTTTACCTTTAGGTTAAAATTTAAAAAAACATACTATTGTTATTTATTACCTAAAGCGGCTATAGCTTAAACTTAATACGTAACTATTTAAGTACTTGGAAACTTACAATGTACCTATGTATTCAAATAAAATAAAATATTATGGAAAAATAAGTACACATATTTTAATCTAATTATTATTCACTATATTGTTAATATTTTAAAGTTTATAAAATTTCATATTTGGAATTGACTCTATTCTCATGATTAATTGAGTACTAATCTGAATGTCTTCTATGCGTCCTAAGGATTCAAACTTCGCATTACGTAAAATAGTCGATATAACTATTTTCATTTGATTCATTGCATACTTTTGTCCTAAAATAATATTTAAGCGTTGATTAACCAAGTTAAGTTTCAAAATATTTCTAAATTTTAAAAATAAAAATAATAGTACCAATACAGTTTCTAGCGCCGGCACTGAACGGTAAATACCCAAATAGAAACTTCGCTTTATTTTCTTTTTCTAAAAACCTTTCAGGAATAAATTCTTCAGGATTTGGATATATGTCTTCATTGCGATGTAAAATACTAGGATATACTGTTATTGTAGTCATTGGAGGAATAGTGTAGTTTTCTGGAAAAAATATGACAATAATATGCAAACATTTTTAGATAAATATTTTAAAATGTATTCAATTTAGTTCTTTAAAATAAAATAAAGTATATACTATGATAAATTTTATTTTTAATTAAGTAAAAATCAAAAATGTTTAGTTTATTGACTTGAAGTTTAAAATTTAGCATTTTGTGAATACATTTGTTTTTAGTTATATAACAATTATAATTTGACTATAAATCACAGTAATAATATAATGATAAAAATACACAACATTTTTTATTCAAAAAAAAATAAATAAGTATTCATGTAATTTATATTGAAACTAAAACCATTTAAAAATATACATTAAATAAAATGAGAGTAGTTAAATTTCCGATAATTGTTAAAAAAATTAATTGTTACAATTTTAAGCACTCACTGAGTTGCAATGGCTTTTCTAGGTTTCTCGTAAAAGCTGGCACACTTGGATACATTCTAAGTGATTCTTTGATTACGGCTTCTAAATATTTCATGGCATTTAAATCTTCCATCGTAGCATCTCTGTCGGAGTCTTTAAAAATGCCAAGTACTTCGTCCCGAGCTTGATCCTATTAAATGAAAATTATTATTGAAATGCTTTATCAATTAACGAATCCTTACTTGTATATCTGAATGCATGCCCATTAAAACCAAAGTAATTGTCATTGCAGCGGAAGTTGTGTCATGACCTTCAAAAAGAAATGTGTCTACTTCTTCACGAATGTCTGTATCGGTCATATGATCCGGAATGTCGTTTAAAAGGTTAAGAAGTAAGTCTAAGAATGATTTCTTTTGTGTTTTTTCTAAATGATCAGTAGGTACAAATATAATATTCTAGCGGTATTTTTATAAATACTTATATTATTTTGAAAATATTGAAATTTATGACGGATGGAAAAAAAAATGATAATTTATTGTTTGTACGTACCAAATTTACTGTCTGACTGCACTTTTTGAGTTTTTAAGTTATTCAAAGATGCTCGTTTACTTTTAATTACCTACAAAAAAATACATACTCTATAATATACAATCTCGACAATTGATAGAATAGCTTTTAACAGAACATGTCATGTCATGCAACATATAAATCTAATACAATAAAAATCATCACATTGTCCTTCTAGTTTTTACTGGTGTTTGTGTTGCTGATCACAGTTAAAACTAAATGGTTTTATGAATAAAATGTATTAAATTAGCTTTTGGGTGTACAAACGTTATCAGTAAATTCATGTAGCACTTTGATTGATTTAAAAAAACTTTGACCACTTTTGCTCATTTTATAAACCAGATCATTCCACAGCCAGAATTTGAAAATACGTTCAATCACTGACTTACAAGCACTTTAAAAACAAATAAATAGACACGAATAAGTAATAATAATTCAATATACTTAAGTAATTATATATTTGAATAATTAAAAACATTTTTTATTATAAAATTACACTAGATTGTTTTTTATTCAGTTCGTTGGTGATTAAAACACAATAGCTTTATTATTCGTATTTTAAAATATAGGCATACCTCTTAATCGAATGAACATATTGAATTGATTTACCTTCTTGGGCATTCATCTTAATTCCCATTATCGTTTCTACAACAAATAGTATATTATTATGCCATCAGATATATTTACATTGGAATCTTATTTTCAGAAATAAAATTTTTAGGTATAATGAATTGATAAAAAAATATAATTAATAACTAATAAGATGTTTAATGTTTATCTTTAACCGTGTTAATAAAATGATAAAAATGTTGTCGGATATAGTGATACAAGTTTTTCGGTCCTACATGCGTCGCGCGTGTGTTCTATGTTTATAGTTTTCACTATGTAAACACTTGTAAGTTATAACCAACAACTGAAAATTAAATGATGTGTAATAATAATTACCACATATCATGTCCAGAGAACACAAAGTGACGTATTCAAAGATGGAGATTTCTTTATTGCCATTCGCAGACGCACTTAATAACTTATCAACCAATATACGTGAATTTTTGTTTAAGGAAGGATTGTACATGTGTAATGTTTTAAAGTGAAATGTATTAGTAAGGAGTTTCCGCCGATTATGCCATTTTTGACCTGCATATAATATCATAAATAGATAAGTTTGTTATCGTAATTTTACTTTGTCGAAATACCTGAGCTCAATAAAAGACCTTCGTTCAACCAAGGTTTCAACATGTCATACTCCAGACCTTTTTTGATATTTTGGGTACTGGACAGTAAAACCTATAAAAAATGTACAATTTTAGTAGGTATACAGTTATCGTTTATTGTGGTGATATCTGATGAAAAAAAATCTTTAAAATGTTGTAATGGTTTTTGTAATATTTGAAATGATCTGCAGAGTTCTGGAAAAATAACCTAAGGGTGTGCGTAGACAATTAAATTAATTTAATTCAAATTCTATTGTTCATTTCTATAATCCTATCAGTAATCATTAAAACTTAGAGATGTAATTTCGGTAAATTTACCAATTATTTTTGTACAGGTAAATATAATTTTATCAAAAATATTAGTATGTGTCACTTTAAATTAAACGTCTTAACGAAATGAATATTCTTAACATATCAATAGAATGAAATAGTTTATAATTTATAATTTATATTATATAACTCAAACGTCAAACGTTCAACACGCCCACAACTACTTATAGTTTATTACATAACATATCATTCTATAAATTATTATCACTATTTAAAGCACGGTTGTAGACAATATTATAATCTTTACTTACAACTGTGCAATTAATAAATTTAATTTTATTGACATCAAGATCTATGGACTATGACAGTATCATAATTCATGGCTGTAGATACTATTATCAACTTCTATTATATACAACTTATTAATTTTAGGTTTGCTGAGTAGTTTACTTTTTATTTAATTTGTGTCATTAAAAAAGTTGAAATGAAGCTGCAAGAAATTAAAAAGAAATATTGTATAGAAGTTAAAAATAAGCAATACAATAGTAATAAGTTCATGAAAAAGTGGAAGTGAAGAGTTTTTAAGGGTGTTCCTATGGTGACATACAAAAATTATCAAAATTTACCAAATTTACAGATTTTACGTAAATTTTTCTCGGTAAATTATCAAAAAAAAAAAAATAAACGTAAATTTTACATCTCTAGTATAACCTTGCCAGCGAAACCTATAAAATCTACTACATATTATTATTGTTTTTATACAGATTAATCATATAGTTAAGTCTGCAAATTAGTAAGAATAACTTTAGCGTACTACAGGTTTGATTGATCAAAGTACCTATGTAATAATAATAATAATAATGTATATTATACACAGCATATTATTATATTAATTTTATTAACTTTTGAGTCAATAACATCTTATCATAAAAATTAATCTACATGAATTTCACTCTTCTTTTTTAACCTTCTATTTAATTAGTTTTGATCATTTTCATTTGTACTATTGTTTTGTTGTATACCTATCATGTTGATCACCATTATATTCAAAATAGGGGTCTCACCAAACTTTGTCCTCACCGCCACGGGGTTTTTTCATAGGCTTACTTGAAAACTATTTTAGAAAAAATATTTTTTAAATGACTTGAAATTTCTCATATGTATTTTAAATGGCTTACTTATCGTGTTAATTATATTTTTAAATTAACTATAACTTTACCTAATCTAACTGTTATCTTAAGACTCAAATCGTCTCCTCAAATAATAAAAATCTTCATAAATGAGAAACTAGATTGGATTTCAACAGTTTGATTTTTTAAGTACAACAAATAGCATGAATGCTATTTATTTTTCCCATAAACTAATTGAAACCAATACCTATTTATATATTTAAATTTAAATACAAATCAAGAAATTTAAATAATACTATTATAAACTATAACATTATATACAATATTTAATACAGATTACAGTTATTAACAAATTAAAAATAAACTAAATTAAATAACTTTTGTAAAATAACGAGCTATTTTGAATCCATTATTAACTTGTTAATCGTGATTAAATAAATAGTAAAATTAAATAACATTTCAAATTTTTTAATGCGTTGTGAGTAATATGAATTACAATCATAATAATTTGTAATTTAGTAATCGTTATTAGAAATTGGAGGTATATAGCATGTGCTTGATAATAATTATGGGCTTTGGCTTCAAGGTTTTTAGATAATACGTAGAGGTTATTCATACAGAAATTTTGAAAATGTAGGAGTGAGAGAACTGTCCGAGTATGTCAGTGTAGTTTAAGCTACCAACATCGTATACTATAATATACAATATATTTTTTTGCGAAATCCACCGTTTGTAGTTAGCCTTGAGTTGTACTGTATTAAATATTAGAATATTAATTTATTTTTTACTTTATTTTGAAATTCATCGAGTTTGGTTCAATCACATTAAAATAAATTTATGATTAAAATACACATGAATATAATTATTCAATGTTTTCATGGATTAACCATTTAATTTAATTTTTGGGGGCTTATTGTTCTAAGTGATTATTTCAAAACCAATATATTTAAGATTGAACATATTTTATTTAAAAAATTACAAAACAACAAATATTAAAATACTTTATAATTAGTAGAACTAATTATATGTGTATTAAAAATATTGATAAGTAAAAAAATTATTAATATGTCATAGTATATTTCGACAGACATCATTATAAAGATTGTATCTACTGCCAAACTACATCAATGACATTATATAGTTTAAAAAAAAGTATTGATTTTTAAAAATAATTATACGACAATATACAAGAAAAGTCATACATTTCAACATAAATATTAAAATTTTTTAACATAAAAGGTTATTTGTTTGGGTGTTTAATTCATATTTGTCTACAATTCCAACGCGACGCTGCTATTTCGCTGTTATTAGATAAGTTGTGGCGACGGGGTTTTGGTTTTGTTTAAATGATTATAAGGAAACCTTTATTATTTAAAAACCATGCTTTGGCTCGGCCCTCGAATAGTTTAGTCAAAAAATGATAAAATGTCACAGATCACTTTTTTTTAAAAGCGGGACATTTTTGGGTTCTTTGAGGACAGCGGGATACATAGCTCGAAACCGGGACTGCCCCGCCCAAATCTCAAAACGGAACTGGTCATATTTAGTAAAATGCATGTTTATAATACAAAATTTAATTTTCGTTTTTCCTATGAGACAATTTTTCAATGATATCATCAACTGATAGGTATAGTAATTATCTTGTAAATATGTAATAAATACTAATGAATGACCACATAAGCGATCCTGGTTCATTTTTGAGCGTAACCATATTTTAGAGCTATATCCCATAAGCGCAAAAAAAAAAAAATAACTTTTTAACAAACCATAAGCGCAAATAAATTCTTAAATTTTCAATTTTGAAGGTGACTCTTGGCAGCAAATAAAATCTAAAAAGTAATAGTAAGAAATTTTAAATACTTCAAAATAAATAAGAAATAGCCAATTAAATTCTTGATAAATACGCAAAAACACTATATTATTTGAAGTCTGAATACATTCTCGTATATCATATTGATAAAAATAATTTAATTTAATATTTAAAAACATTTTCAACATAATATTTTTAAGTTATTTTTATTTTTTACGAACTTTTAAAAATCAGTTTATCTTTGGGTCTATTTTTAGTAACTGTATTTTTAAGAACTTATATTAAATACTACAATTAGGTATATTTTTTTGATGATCATAGATGCATTGCAGCCCTCAGTAGCGTATTTTGGGGGGTATCCTAGACACCTACCGACTTAAAAAAAAAAAAATTACCTAAATTTTGGTGTATCATTGGTTTTATAATATGTCGGACTCTCCCCAAAAAATCATACAAAATACGTCAGTGATAGCTCATATATATATATATATAAGTTATTGAAAATATTAGTAACCAATTGATATTTATTTAAATGTTAATTGATTGATAAATTCGTAAAAACGCTATATTATCAGGAGTCTAAATAAATTATCGTATTTGCATGATCACATAAGAAATGTATTATAATTATGTAAATTAAAAATGTACTTACTTTTAAATCATCTGGATCGTTTAGTAAAACATATGATCGGCCTGAAAGGTTAAGATGAACTACTGGTCCATTTTTTTTTATTACATCCGTTAAAAATGGCAATATATCTAAATGATTTGTAAGAAAAAACATAATGTTATCAATTAAAAATTGAGTACCATTCGTAAAAGATATATATTTCTGATGAAAAATCCAATATTAATGATTTAGTTTTTAAATTCCAATATTCTATCGATTTTATTGCGATGTAACTGATGTAAGTATATATATATTACCGTTTTGTATTGAAATGGTTATTTACGAATTTTAATTTTTAGACAACTTTAAGAACATTTTAATGTTTCAAACTTATTTACACAATTAAATATTAATTAATTTCTCCATTGAAGAACAAGATGAAAATCATTCCTATGATCACATATTTTTTTTAGCATTTATCATTTCACTACTACACTTTAGTGTAATGTTTCTTTAACAGTATAGGTATACTTATATAATAAACTGTATTTTTTTTAAACAGTATTCCACTCTTTCGACAGTCATAAAAAATTCTTTTAATTTAACACGAACACAGACATTAACATAGTTCTATATAACTGACGACGAATTAAACAATTAGTTTTATTTTTTGCTGTTCAGATATACGGTTTACATTGTAATGACTGTAGTCTGTAGACTGTGTTCATGTGTGATTTGCACATTCGAGTACCTATAGTTATAGTATGATATAACTTGAAAAATGAGGCCTCACAAGGGTACTCTAAAAATATTGGTTTACACTCATCTATTCTAAATTAAACTATTAAATAACTTGGTTACTTTTGAAATTCCATTTTTACCAAAAAAATATTTTGTTTTGGAAAATGAAATTGAAAATGTATGCTGTTCGTAAGACAAAACGATTATTTAGTAAAATTTTTTTTTTTCAAAAATATTATTTTGAACCTACAATTATTTTTACTAAAAAATATATTACCAAAAACTTGCTTTACGAGTAAATGATGGTTTAATTTTATAATACAATGTTTTTGTACATGTATTGCTAGGTACCTATACAGTATACATTTTACATCGTCGTCGATTAATTTGATCAATAACGAATTGAAATCAATAAATTAATAGGTACGACGTGCGTGCGGCGTATCTACTTACCTTTGGGTTTCAGCATCGCTAGTTTCCACGAAAATAGCATTTCACTCCAAAAACTTTTCGTAACGGATGGCACGTGAGACGAGATCTGTCTGTACTCCAGCGGCATACGGAGCCGCGTCCATATCGCATGCAGTATCAAACCAGCCAACGGCATTAACACTGCTGTGTAAACGTTTAGTTCGATCATTTCTGTCACGGTCGCGGTAGTTTATTCAAAATTAACTGTGTATGGTGTATTTATAAAATTGCTTTGTTATTTCGACGAACAAATTAATTTAATATATATTGTAATGTATAATGATAACACTGTCGTTGTAAATATTGTTTAATGTGCAATATTGTATTATACATATTATATCATGTCAACCACAGTTGCAGACGAGCTTACCATAAGGTGCTCCTTAGGCGATGTGCTCGGCAATGCATGTAGTATAGTTTTGTACGGCGATCGGCATCTGTTTGGTGTTGTGTTGTTATAGGTAGAACTCGCCTAAAATTCTATAATATATTTATATTATCTCCAAGGTCATAGCTGTAGCGTATAGTTCACGCAATGATAATTCAAAGGTAATTATGCATAATTAGGTATCGATGGCTTTTTTTTGTTTTAGACAATACACATGGCCTTATTTTAGATAATAATACACAACTGATCTAAATAACTAATTTTTTTCCCCTTATGATTTATGGTGTATTCAATTAACAAAATAATTTTAAGTGACTAAATAGTTTTACTTTTTTAAACATATCAAATTATAAGTAATTATTTTTTATAAAAATAAAAGTTATTCTATGATTGGGTCATATTTTATTATTCAATTGAAACAGTTTATTTACTAAATTAAATTAATTAAAATTGTGTTTAAGTCAATTTCCGAGCCTTAAATATCATTATAGAAATATTAAATAATACAAATGAAATCGTGTGCTGGAAATTTTCCCTTTGAAGTTATATTAATATAGGACTATTATGTCTGCATGTGATAGTTCAAGTACAGCTATCTAGCTTGAATTAGTTTTTATACGATTTAAGAGGAGCAGCAACTGCCGAGTTGACATGGTGACTGAATTTTAGTTAAAGGAAGATAACAAAATAAATATAATTTTCTTAAAGATAAAATCAAATATATTTGATTTTTATGAAAAATAAAAATTCTTTGAATTTGACAATATAAAATTATAAAATATTGACGTTAAAATATAAATAAAATTTAACAATGAAAATACTGATTGAGGTAATTAATCATAGTTCTTGGTTTATTAATTTTGATTAATTTTTCTAATGGTTATAAAATGTATTTTTAAATATTATCATTACTATTATTGTTATATACTGAAACATAAATTGGTTAAGTTAAGTTGAAATTAAATTAATTTTTATTTATTATTTTATTTATAGACTTTAAATTATTAGTAAAATCTTTATTAAACTGCAATGATTCACTTAGTAATTTTGTTAGAAACTGTATATATAATAGATAACCTGTTATTTTCGCTTTATATTATTATTCAGTTATGCGAATAATTAAACGTCACCTCTACAAGTTCAAAATTAAAATATTTATTAATATCACTGTCGAATGCTGACCAAGTAGTTTTTTTTACGGTTTTCTAAAACAACACTGTAGCTCTGTGTATTTTTTGATTGGTAGTGTAGTTTGTTCTGAAAAATTGTTTAGTAATAGGTTGACTCCAGTATTTTTAATGTAATAGTTAAAAAAAAAATATATTAATAGAACTGATAAAAGTGACTGAAAAAAATTCAGAACTTTAAATTTTTGTACAATGGTTTTACTCCATCGCGGATGTAAATTGTATTCATTTGGGTAAATACAGATATTGAATATACGAAAGCAGAAATACTTTGGTGTTGTCGAAAACATAAAACAAAAAATCAATACAAATTATATATAAATAACACATCGTCACATGTTTCGCAATAGTGATTGGTTTATCATATTTTATAGATGCATCCAACAGTTCATTCAATTATATTTGTGCATTTTTCCTTTAAGAAGAAATATCATATACGTTTAATTGTTTAATGGCTTGAATGTTGAATGAAAAGTGTTGATGAGGAACTTTTGATGGTTTTGCCATCTCGAACCTACATAATGGTATTATAATATCATATCGTTTTTTATAATTTATTAGTTCCATACATTTCTTTACATTTCTTTCTTTACATTTAACAAGAAGTGCCTCAAAATCAGCATATATAACTTTCGGGTGTCGTTGAGTTTTATTTCAGCCATCGACCTCTGATATTGTACCGGGCGCAGGTATCTGAGGTATGATAGGTTTGTGTGTTCCACATATCATTTTGTGCTGTTCTAGTGCTGCTTGTCCGCTTAGCGTATTTTTCCGGGGCTGACTGTCAAATGATGTGAAACACCGTTTGCAAAATATTACATGACCGTCATGTGATGTTTTGTACACGGACAATCGTGAGTAATTTGATATATATATGTGTAGGTGACTTTTATCTCCGTTGGTAATTAGTAAAGATCAAAATGATCTTTTCTTCTTCATCGACCTTAAGTGGATAAATAATATATTTTCACCCTTTTCTGTTTTTAAACCGTAGCGTTACAGATACGTTTTGGTTAACAAATAAAAACACATATATATATTTTAAAATCAATATGCTGTATTTTCTTTGCCAAATTTAATAGGAACATTAAATTTGTAAAATATTATTTTTAGAATAATCGTCGATAACTTAAGTTAACCTAACAAATAATTAGACACATAGGACTCCTCATAAAAATTGGTTTCATAGTAACAATGATTTATCATTAAATTCGAGTTAACACATTATTTATTTAAGATACATACTGTTATGACGATTTAAAACGTCGTACATCTATAGTACCTACAGCAGTAGTTATTTTTAATGGATATTTATTGATGAATGATAATTATAATAATTGACTGTGTACAATTGTACAAATCACAAAATTTAAAAACATATTCTAAAATTACAATATAGTAACTGTTATGTTTTAAAGTATTTTTAATATTAAATATTATTCTACTGTATACCATATAAAATAGATATCAGGTCTTTATATTAATACTGCTGCAATCATTGAACAAATCACAAAATAAGTAATTTGTAATATTTATTAAGAAAATACTTTTAAAACACAACAGTTATTATGTTGTAATTTTTAGAATATGTTTTAAATCGTTATGATTTGTACAACAATAGGTGTACCTTACGGCGTTGTACAGTGATTATTGTACTTGTACATCGCGGTGTATAACACAACGGTACAATCTAATATACTTTGTTCAGCAACATAGTACACTTCGCAATGTATAAAAATCACTACAAATTGCGAGTCTTTACATCAGACTTTGTATGTAACACATATATATATATCGCGTGATAAGCGGTGTACCAGATGTGACTCATTCATTTCGACGTATTGCCGTATCACTCATCGACGATAACCTGCGGTGTTATTTTGTTATTATCGGCGTTAGTTGAACTAGTGTATATCACGTAGTTAGTCGCACCGCGGTCTTTTCGACCGCGTTATAATTTTCAAGTAAATAATTATAAATAAAACGTTGTTTCATAGGGTATATGTTTAGCAATTTTATTAAAACAAATCAATTTTCATATAACTTTAATAACTTATGGTTTTATTTGTAAAAAAAAAAAAAATCGAAACTGAAAGTTACCTACTTCCTACACATAAATTGGGTACCTAATTTAAAAAGTAATGTACAAATTTTATTTAAATTTGTATATTATACTATGTATGTATAGTTATTTAATGAATAGATGAAAAATATAATAATTTTATTAATATTCTGAATTATCTGATGAATGTTGTGCGTCTTCGCAAACATTTGGCAATACGTTACGTATGTTCATAGGTACGTTTTCCTGCAGCGTCAACGAGCTAGCGAGCGTCAGACGCGTGTTACTAGATACATACATTTTATATGTAGTTTGTTTTCCTACTTGCGTTTAACGCAGACGCGTCGGTAAACAATCATATGCGTCCGGACGCACTACAGTCTGGATTAGTGTCTATACGGACCTCTTTGTCAAAAGCTTGATAATGTCGAAAAATTTGTTTTCCTCAACTGAGATGAAATTTTATTGAATATGTCAACAAAATAGGAAATTTTGACAGTGCTCACCCTAAGCATAAAGATATTCATTTTAAAGAAAAATTTGGAAAATTATTTCTGAAAAGTCGAGAAGTACGTAGCTACATAATTGTCATCAAATATGTATTAATTGAATCACTAAAATCCATATTGATGTGATATTGATTATTGAATATATTACTAAATACTACTTTATTTTAATGACAAATTATGATTATAATTGTTATTATTATAACTACAAATTATAGGC